TCGCTGCTTCTGATGGATTTCAGCCCTCCCATTCATGTCAGCTTTCGAAGGGCGTGTATAGAGCTTAATTCCGACTAATTCGCTCCAGAATGGCGAGCAATTTATGAGGAGATTGAAAGAAGACAAGGGTTTCTATGAATAACCTTCTTGTTCTAGACTGACATTTCAGCTCCAGAAAAGAGTTCCCGCGTGTAGTCACAGGGTGAGGAACAATCAATGCGCGTCTATGTATGCATAATTATAATTTAAATCTAGCCACTGGAGTCATCCACATTTCAAATGTTGTAGTCTTTTTTCAAAAAACATAATTCGTCCATCAAAGCTTTATGAGTGACTCCGATAAGGTCTGAATGGACGATGAAAATATTATAATTTTCAATACAGAAGCCGATGATTACGAGGCAACATATGTCCAAATGAATTGCAACAGACTTTAACATCCCATATGCACAAACAAGTAAGATGAAAATAGGAACGTGTATGGATATCACAGTGGTTGAAGTGTTGATGCTCGAAATTAGGTAGTTGACTTCAGCCAATTTTTTTAACAATTAAAGGAAAAGAGAATTTCCTACGCATAATTTCCGCGATCTCATAAATATCCAAGAATTAAGAGTATTTAAAGCATTCAATCACACAAAAACCACATCTTAAACCGACAAAATGCTGTGGAGTTTCTGGCAAAGGAGCAAAATGGTCAGATATGTTCTGAAATTAGGGCACATGGAAGATTCCGAAAATTCAAAATGATGGGAATATTTATGCTCGCGGGGGATAAGTCATATTTTCACTGCCTACGGATTAAAGACTGGACTTGAACATCTTCTGGGAAAAACAGCGTCCCTCTTTAGTCTCATTTTCTCCGGTCTACAGTTGGAACATTGATTGACACTCCATTCTCCCCTCTGCCGGCAGACGCTGTCCTATTAAATTGCGCTTTGTTAAACATCTTCTTTAATCAGCAAATATTTGAACTTCTGTAAGTATTTCATTTTCAACTTTTGCCAGATGAACAATAATGTATTCTAAATAATTCCTTGGTAATGGTTCAGGACAGGTGAAAAACTGCAAATATTTCGGTTCTGTTTTCAGCTGATAACTGACCCTATTTAAACAAACAGTGAACACAAAATTTTATTATACAAATTATAAATATTGCAACACTAATAAAGTAATTTGTTCAGATTAAGAAAGCATTTCGAACTTTTGGTTGGCATTTCATGAGATGAGAGAATTACCGTGATTGTCATCACATAGGGGGCGATTTAAAAAACAGACGAGAACGCTAGTAAAGGCCTACCTTGAAAGCAAGATGGTTTCTTTGTTATACCACAAGCTCGAAACTAAACAAGAACGCTGTCATAGTTAACGACGGAGAGCATTTTCTCCAACGAATGGTTAAGGGCTTCGTTTTTTTCGGTGGTTGTAGTGAATGGTAACAACAACCACATCCTCCTGTTTTTCTTACTTTTGTCTACATTACTGACAACTAGCGCATATATGTACAAAACTAATTGGTTGAAAACCTTCGAGTTAGCTTTGACGCCCTTATTGAAACGGCCGTTCTTATTTGTAAACTTTTTCGCTATTTTTATGTCAATAGTGTACTGCAAGTAGTTTTTCACAAAGGTAGGAAAACGTTGTGCATTTTCGTTGTCCCGCAGGAACTTGTATCATCTTGAAAATTTGGATGTTATAGATTAACCTATGCATGGAATATCCAGCACTCAAATCTTCTTATGAAACGCAACGTGATATTTACAAAAGTTAAAATTTTGCACTACACCCTGAATAAAGCTTCAAGAATCAATCTAAGTTTCTTGCTTCGACTGCTATCAATGACTTCACTGTATAGGCCAAACAATTAAAAACTGCTTTCATGGTTACTGACCCATTTTATTTTGACCACACCATACCCTAGAATTCCCAGAAACTACTAAATCACCAGTTTTTCTTTTTCGTATAAGTTCAAATGCAGCAAATAAGTAAATTGCATTGCCTATGAACTGACTTTTGAAAGAGACCAGTATTTAATGATTAAGGGAGTGTATTAGGATGAGAAGCGTTTAGTGGGTTGCTGGATATTTACAGTCACTTTTTAACAGCTTTATTTTAAAAAACTTGCTTGTATGCAACGGAGGGCACTTTCGAACCACCATAAAACCACAATTTTTTAACGGCTATGCTCGATAGTGTGTCAGGTTTCGTGGGAAAAAAAACTCCGGCCACCTGTTTTATCACTGTTTACCAAAGCTAGCCATCGTTTTGTTGAGGTTTGGTATACGACCAGTTGTAATCAGGCATGCATCTAGTTTAGGAAAAACTAATCTCAATAAATTAGGCATCTTCATCAAAATGTAACCAAACCTCAGCAAATCTAGCGTCTAGCGTAAGAAGAGTTTGGGAACAGTTATTTGCGTTGTATCCTTTTGTTGTTTTGTTACACATGGCGGGACTGGACTAGTGCAGAGGTTCTGGCCTTGAAGGTACGCCGCCATGGACCCCATTTGTGTGAACATGCGGAAGGGGTATCGTTTTATTTCAAGTCAGAATTGTCCAATCCTTTCTAAGGAAACTTGGTCCGACAGCGCGGCCCGGCACACTGCGTCAGGCCGTTCCCCAGAGTCTGTGGCCCCACATACTGCTACCACTGTCTCACGGATGAGTGTCTGACTGCTCGAATTTGCAGGGAGCAGATGCCGAGTTTTCTAACATTCCCTTTCCTGTCGTTCAAGACAGGTGATAATGCTGGCAGCTATATCAGCTGGAGCAATATAAGTTTGACATATTAAAAACTAGCCGATTTCTCTCTCTCTCTCCTCTGACCAGAGCTGATTTCTGACTGATCGTTTCTCACTTTACCTGTCTACCAGAATCTCTATACTGTCAGGGAACATTATCATAGTTTTATACCTTAATCTGCCGACATCTCAAGAGACCCGAAATAGGAAAACAAGATTGGGAGGGAAAGAAATTCTGAAGGGCCTTCATTTATCTGCCAGAGGCGGGACTAGGCGTAGTCGAATGACTGCCCGGGGAACAGCGTTTGCCAAACGACAATTTAGCCTAAGTATTATGAGATGGCATTTCTAAAAAATCTAAAACGGAAACAAGGAATTATCATATTCTTATGAAAACGCTCAGGCAATTTTGCATGACCAATTTAAAAAACATCATGGACTACAATGCCCTTGGTCGAATACAGATCGACGATGGTAATAGGGAGTTTTTTGCGTAAGTTCAAGAGGATAAGGATAACTAATAAGCATAATAATACGATACAGGCAACAGCCAACTCATTTAAATATCCGCCGCATTTTGTGCTAGATGCGACGTTTGGGGCAGACAAAATAGTTTTTTCCACTATACAGGTTGGCCAACATGTAAAGATCCGAGAGACTTATGGTTCCCGATTCTTCTTTAGTTTCTGAGAGTGATCTGATGTAAATTTAGATAAAGTTTAGATATACGTGCCTATTTCGCGTATCTGAGCTCGCCAGATATCTTTATGGGAGAAAAATCGTTGTATAACGGAGTTACCCAAACCGTCAAGAGAACTAAATTCTTGCGAAGGTGCAAAACAACGGTATTGGCGATTTGAGTTATCGTTCACTGGCCCCTAGCTCACCAAGAAGAACAGACACCACTCGTCCGTAGCCGACCCTCAGACTTTGTCTAGAGAGGGCAATTAGTCATTCGGGGATCGTACGGGAAGTACTGTTTCTTAAAACGGTCACCTCCTCAAAATAATCTGTCTGAAATAATCAAATGGGCCTCACAAACGCGCTCCTTTCAACGTATGAGCACGTATTACACACTAGATTTTTAACTACTCAGTTTTTAAACGCACTGTTTCACAACTTAATGTTTATTGTAAGCATGTTTGGACATCCTTTCACTTATTTAGATCACGGTTACCCCTGCATGAAGCGTGTATTTTTACCCGTATTCGAAATTTCGGAACAGTGGAAATCTTCTAATGTTTAAACAATCTGTATATTTTGGCTGCCATGTGATTTTCAAAATGCACTTTTTTCGATTAGTCTGTAATGCCAATTCTTTTTTATAAAAAAATTTAAAATTCTAAAAGTGTTCTGGATTCGGGGGCTGCAGACTGAACAGCTGTAGTTAGTTAAAATTACGGCTTTAAAAATACCTGTAAAAAGAACATCTGTTTTTGACTTGGACGCACACGTTAGGTTCAACGCAATGCCGAAACTCAATTGGAAAAACTAGTAGAGTCAGCATATCCCAAAGCATTTTTATCCCCAAGCCCTTTCTTTCTGAATGAGCCCAATAAAAGGTACTGCCGGTCTCATTCTCCACACGAGTATAAATTTAAATTTCATTTTCTATAAGGCCTTCGCCAGTGAAATCTGCCCTAATGTGAATACATCTTAAATAGTGAATCCGTCACAGCGAACCCTGTGATTCTAAATTACTAACGTTTGAGACTGGAACGAGTTCAAAAAGCTTGTGGAAGGTAATATAGAATTTATAGAGCCTACATAACGGTTGATACAACTGGAATTTATTTATAGTTTCCGATTCCTAATCTGCTTGCTCGAATTTCTTTACTCATTTTTTCGTCGATGTAAAATGTCAACTTATCTGAAATTTTATTAGTTTTAAATCCACATTAAGCTTCTTTGAAAAATAACAAATATCAGGAACATTAACAAAAACATTCCTTTCAAAACAGTTGCATCTGCTTCTACGTACTTATCACTCGTTAACGTGAAACGGATTATATCTAGGACATTTCTGTATCTATGGTTGTACCTTTATTGGAGTACCTTTTTTCTCAAGCTCGCTTAAAAAGAATGATGATGGGTTCGCGAAGGTATCCGAATAAAATGATTGTCCCAGCCATCAAGCCTACTTTCTTTAAATGATTTTAGTTTCCTGAGCGTATGTTACCCATTCAAGATCTAGTCGCATTTAGGTACTGTGGGTTTTATTGCTGTCCCCGGCTTTTTTAAGTGACTTGACAAACTTACCTAGAAGATGGGCGCTAAAGACGAAGGATAATGGAAATATTAAGAATGACCCGCCACTTACCCATCTAAGTAATCGAAGCGTCTTTGTCCCACTCAGCTTACAGCGCATTCCAGAAGGCCAGGAGCAGGAGGTGCCCTCCTTGCACACGGCATGCCGGATCCAGCGTGGCCAGTAACGATTGCCCAAATCTCGCCACACAAACTGAACCGGACAGGTCGCCTTCTGAAGAAGCCAGCGCTTGATCAACTCAGTGTCTTTGGGACTAAGGCTCACTTTTTGCCTTCCCACGCCTGGGATCTCCTCCACAATAGAAAACTCCAGACGACGCAGCTCTTTGGTCAGTGCCTTTTGCTGTTGATCTTCTTCTTGTTGCTGAGTGGTTTGATTCCCCAAGGCTCCCGGACGATCTGTGGCCATCCAGGCATGGTCAAAATTAGATCCAAGGATCACCTGCAATTTCTCGACCACACTCGGTGAAAGATTGGGCTGGAGGTAGGGCAGAGTAGCAGAGTTAATACGTTCGTCAAACGTGCGCACATTTAC